ATGATAAAAAAAACTCTCATTATGATGTCGAATTCCAACGTGACAGAGCAAATCAACAAAAATGATAAGAACAATTTACATGTATGTTTCTTTTATCTGGAATCGATGTGGGCAAACGTGAATTGCGACAAGCTGAATGATAGATTACGACTGTTTAAATGGCCGATGTAATCATTGACTTGCCTATCATAGATCATCACCGCATGTCGGTTTGAAATATAATAACGTGCACGAATCAACACACAGACAGTGGCTTGTGCCGAGTCATAGGGAGAATACAGATTTGTACAGAAACTGTATATGTTGCTACTTTTTTACGAACATACATACTTATGTAACGCATTTTCGTAATCACCTCGAAAACTTTACAAAATAAAAAAATGTTTATTTTCATTAATAAATATATATAGAAATATATATATATAGAAAATATATATATAGAAAAAATGCGCGATGGGATAGAAAAATCGCTTTATTTAAACATGCGCAATATGGTTGTCTTCCAAAATTCTAAGGTAGAATACTGGGTTACGTTCTAATGTATAGAGCCGCAAACACGGGCAAATTTTGTCGGTGACATTCATAATTTATGCGACTAGATAGGGTGCTTAATCTCATTAGTACACAACGCGAAACACACCGGATAATTTAGTATTAACTGGTAATCGTCGTTGAGGAAGTAATTATGAAGAACATTAGAACAAAAGATTTGTTATCATGTCAATATAAATTAATAAAGAAGACAAGTAAGGAGAGCACAGAAAGAGAGAGAGAGAGAGAGAGAAGAAACTTTTGAAAAAAGATGAAGACACATGTCTCTCTCTCTCTCTCTCCGCTAACATTCTCTATATGTAAAGGTACAGTACAAACATAAAATCATTAATTGTGCACACTTAATCAATAATATATTTAAAACCTGTATGCATTTATTAGTATACTATTCCGGTAAAAAATTTTCCATGTATAAAATTGTATGGACATATTCGGCACACACACATAAATTTGTATAATTAGATATAATAATTTTAATTTGTGTGATAAATATATATGATTATATATCAAAAATTTTTTTTAAATATAGTAAAAATATAGTTTTATATAATTTTTTGTATCTAACATGATACTAATAGAGTTATTTTGTAATTTGATATACAATATCTCTGAAGTCATTTTTTAAAAAAAAGAAATTCTCCGTGTATATAAAATTGTATGAACATATTCGGCATATAAATTTGGATAATTAGATATAATAATTCTAATTTGTGTATAAGTATATATGAAAAATTTTTTACCGAGATCTTTACATTACTATCTTTTATACTTTTATTTGTAATACAAAGAGTGTAAACTTTTATTTTATTAAAAAATATAGAGATGCATAAAAGTTGAAAATATTCTCGGAAACAATTTAAACTCAGGAATATAGCCGCGGAATATTAGAACCCGGTTTGTTTGTTTGAGAAGTAAATGTTGGTTCGACACCGAGACTAATATATAACGGGTATTATGACGCACACAATCAAAGGTAGCTTTGCGTGCAAACAATAGTGAAAAACTTGGACACAGAGAGAAATGAAAATAATTCATACCAGAAATTTACAACTTACTCTTATATAATCATTTCAAACAAAACCGCGCAGAATGAGAGACAGAGAGCAAACTATTTATTATTCTGAAACAACCATCGTTAAAGCGGGCGAGCGAAGCTGAATGGGATAAAAAAGAAAAAATATATATATAAAACTAATAAAGATACCGCGACAAGTGTACTCACGCAACTTAACGAAAACTTTGCTTGAGATGTATACCTTGAAAAGAGAAAAGCTAAAGATAAAAAAAAAAAAACACTTTTAATATAACGCACACTCATTTGTATTTAAATAAAAAAGATCGAAACCTTAAACTTGCATAGTGTTTTTTCGGCAAAAAGATACACAGAGCGTTGGAAATATAAGTGTAGAGCACGTAGCTTGTTGCTATCCGATAAAATAAATAAAAGATTAAACAGTTACATATGTAAAGGGAAAAAAAACAGAAGAAACGAGAGAGAAGGCCGGAAAGAGTGAGAATAGCGCGAAAAGATAGAGATGGAAAGAGAGAATATTGTAGATACAGTGTTGTCGAAATTTTTTGCGAGTTGCCGCTTCGATTACGCGCTAAATTTCGACCCGATCGTTGCGCGATTTGTGCAAATATGCGTGCAGCGACTCGGTGAATTCCAGGTGAGAAATTTCAATAGACAACTATGTGCGCTTGTGTCGCTCGTGTTCGTAAACGTGTCATGCGTACACATTTATATATACATAACTATCTTCTGCAATATTGAGAAAATGATAAATAAAATTTCATGTTATTTCGAAGTTATCGCAAGAAGAAATACAAGTCGCGTAAAAAGACATATACTTGAAATAATTGAGTTTATAAATCAAATGAAAAAAAATTGCTTGAGGCCCTTTGTCAACGGTTTAAAGAAAAAATTAGTATTAAGTTAGTATTAAATTAAATAAAAAAGTAACGCGCTTGTTCAAACGAGTAATAATTATAACAAACTTCAATTTAACAATCTATAAACAAACAGTGTTTCGAATTTCAAAAAGCCTTACTTATATCTATTAACGAATCTTATTGACATATTATTTTGCACGAAGATCGTCAACGTACCAACTATTGCTACAACTGCATAATCGATTTGCTCGCACGGACACAGATATATAATGGTAGTCGTATGTATACGCAATGTGTGTGCGGAATGAAAACCTGTGATGTTTGAGCGAAACTAATATTAGAGCGATTGTAGCCGCGCAGTTAATAGAACGCCAGTTTCATCCCCCTAGATAATGAAGCACAGCTAGAGCGAAGTGCCAACAGTGCGGCGTCGATTACATCATCGGAATTGTTCAAACGAGAAATTGCCATTGCGCATTTGCTATTCATTTTAATCCCGAAGTGAATAACATTCCTAAGTGGAAAGTCTTGAGCGACGCCAATTCGTCCACTCGGCTTGTCGAGGAACTATTATTACTTTGTAAGGTCAAAAGTGTCGAGGTAAGAAAGTATGAGATTATAAAATAAAGTGCACGCAAAGACAGAAAAAATCACAGAGTTTCTGTTATTACACAGTAAAAAAGAAATTGTTAATTTTAACACATTTTTTGCATGTTCCAGGAGGTCCACTCTAAATTTTAAGTTAAAATAACTCATTTGTTGTTAAAATAACTGATTTGCATACTGATATCCTTTTTTGTTAACTGTAGGTCATGTATTTATATTTTCTGAAGAGGATTCAATAAAATAATCGAAACGTAAATCTATTTTTTGGAATTACTTTTTTGCACATCGTCAGCAGTGCCTAAGGCTCATATTGGCTCTTTAACGACTTATTTTGAAATTTTCGGAGCCTTTTGTCCTTTTATCTGTAAAAATAACATATATAAAATAATTAAAAACTACACAAAGTACAGTAATTACAGTAGCTTGTAAGAAATATATGTTAATATATAAAATATTTTAGTTTGTACAATGTGATCAAAGATTTTTTTTAACTTTTTTTAGTATGTTAAATTGACTTTGAGACATCTAGATTAATTAAAATCATTGTGTTAAAAGCACTTAAACAATATTCCATTTTTAAATGACATTCAAAAAATGTTAATTTGCGAAGTTAACATAAATTTAATTAACACGTGAAAAGGTTAAAAAAATAATAACATATCGGTATTATGTTAATTTTACATTGAAGTAATAATCGAAACGTCGTAACACAAGAAAAGTTCTACATTTCGACGCACGATTTTTTACCGTGTAATCTGCATTTTACACTCCACTGTTCATACGTTTTTTTTTTTTTTTTTAGAGAGAGAGAAAAAAGTTATAGAGGGAATTAACAGGATCGTACGAAAAGCCGATGCAAGTCAAAGTTGGACAAATTTTACGTGTCTCTAAAACTGGATTCGCAGGAAATTTTGCCGAGCTCGAGAGATCCGCATCAAATAGCCAAAACGTCGATAGCTTTCGGCGACATGACATCGTCCAAACGAATCGACAAGTTCTGATTCCTCTCGTTCGAATTATAGCGAGGGATGCAATCAAAACTGGTGCTCGCGACCCCCGGGGGCTTCTTCATTATTCGCGGACATTGAAGCCGAGGGAGCATCCCTCTATCGCTTGTGTCGACGTTGTGTTTGCACTACAATCACACTAACCGAATTATCCTGATCACATCGGGCGCGCGTGCAAACACGCGTGCTAACCTTTTCCCTTCCCACTCCCCGCGACCCTTTCCCATCTCTCATTTCCTCTCCTCACCTCTAATTGATTAGATTTTATTTGCACGACTCACAGCCGATATTGATAAAAAATGAAAGATAAGTCGCGCTTCGACCTCTTTCCGTCCTTTCCCTCGAGGACACTTTCGAGAGAATGCTTCAGTTCACTTTCGACCGCGAGAGGTGACCATAAGAGCGTGTTTATCCTGTCAATGCGTTAAGTGCCGGAAATTCAGCGGAATGAAAGTGAACGATGAGATTGCTTCATTTTAACTCCAGTCTCTCTCTCTCTCTCTCTCTCGATTTTACGGATTTATTCTTAAGATCCTTGAGTTGATCTCTTGAAACTTCCAACGTTTTTGACCGCAACAGAAATTTTCTACCTTCTCCGTCTTTGAATTCGCGTTCTTTTTATTTTTACAAAAATTCGAACATGCAGTTTGATCTTGCAAAATCGAAAAAGTTAACGAAAATAACGAAGAAAATAACGGCCGCGAGAATCAAACAACGCAAGAAACAGATTCGAGACAAAACCTATTTGAATACAATTGCGCGCGCGATGCGTTATTTTTGTACGCACACGACTATTCACGGTCTCCGGTACGTTGTTGATCCTCATCTGCACATGATCGAACGATTCCTGTGGCTCGTCGTGTTCCTCGTGTGCTCTGCCATCGCCAGCACTACAATTTACTCGCTGGCGCTTAGATTCCAGGTAAACCGCAAATGAAAGGAATGACAATAATTCTGATGCATCGCGATCCAGAATTATTCCGTCAAAGGTTCAAACTGCCAATCATGTCCGAGACAGATCATGTTTGTTTGTTTTATGTCAAATATCTCGCGAGAATAAAAAAAAAAAAAATATTTTATTAGAGACTTTATGAGAGAGAGTGTGTGACGCAAACCGATGTGATGTGCATAATTTGTTTCAGGCTGCGCCAACGTCCATTACCATCGAAACGATGGACTACGAAAATTCGAACCTGCCATTTCCGAGCGTGACCCTTTGTCCAAACGACCGCGTCGACTGGAACCGGGCCCTCGAGCTCGAATCGAGGATTTTTCCTAATGACACGGACGGGGCGAGTCGTGAAACTTTTCGAAGAATACTGGGCAAGCTTTCCATAATAAGCTTCGGGGATTTCGACGAACTTAAGTTTCTGAAGCATCAAGATGTTCGAATTGTTCAGGATCTTTCGGGTGCGATATTTTACTTTCTCTTACAGATTTTCAAAGCGAAATAGAACTTTAAGAACAACGATTTCTCGACTTTTCTAATTTGATTCTCAGCTTTCAATTTTAATGAATTACAGTTTGAGATTAGAGTTTGATCATATTTTCAATTGGGACTTATTATCGCTGCTTCAAATACAGTTTTAGTTTATAACCGTTTTGAGTTTACTCTTCTCTCGCGTAATCTCTCTATAAAGATAACGTTATATCGTGATCATCGGATATATAGGTATTAATATAACTCAAGTACTGCGCGAGGTGATACCACATTGCAACGAATTGCTGTCCAACTGCTGGTGGCACAACGCCACTCGCAATTGCTGCGAGATCTTCGAACTTCAGAAGACGGAGTACGGCTTTTGCTATTCGTTCAATTCGGAGTTGGCGGAAAAGCTGTCCGCGGCAAAGCCGGGAGAGTCGCGGCCACGAAAAACGTTCGGTTACGGCAAAAAGAGTGGCGTCAAGGTTACGATTCATCTGGGGAACATAAGGAAGCCACCGAATTCCGGTAAAGATTGGCAAGCACAGCGAAACCCGATGTAATATTCTACGTGGCTCTCGACACGTCGTGGCTATCTACATGTTGCAAAAAAAAAAAAAAAAAGTAATGGTGTGTCGAATACACCAAAAAAAAAAAAAAAGCGAAAAGAGAAAAAAGCAAAAATTCACGCCGATATTGGTTCCGTAAAAAAAAAAAAAAGAGCATCTTAATAAATTGTTCGGGGATCGCGGCAGATCAAACGCTGATTCGCTTTCCCGTCACGTCGCTCTTTATATTGCTTTTGCGTTATATTCTATTAAAAGATTCAGAGAGCTTGATTAGGCGCGAATTAAAGATCTTTTTCGAAAAATTCATTTTGACAACTTTGTTTCAAATAGCAAAGAGAAAAAATATTGTTCTAACATAATTTAAAATAACTTATGATATATTACATTTGTGTTTTCTCTGCTTGTATGTATTGTACCGCACAAATATCTATGTGGCTCATAGATTTCATATTGACATTAGATTTGTTATTTTTAAGTTAATTTACATGCATAATTATGGTTTAGATCATCGTATACATTGTTTGTTATTGCATTATCTCAACAAAGGAAGGTAAACGCATTATATGAACAAACATTTAGCATAAATCCAAATCAGGAGCAAGAGGGGAGGGGCCGTGTAACGGTAAACAAAACGTAAACTCGCGCAAACTGTGGCGGATTAATAACTAATATTATTTTCGTCGAGACCCGCATTAAACGATAAAGTGTACACCAACGACGCATCGTCACTAATCCACCGCGCGTTACGCAAACGCGTTCTCCGCGGAATCTCGCAAATATGATTTTAATATTCTCGCGAAATCTGTCGAACCGGTGTATACGCACGCGTTTTGAATAGAACACGACTTCCTATTCCACCGTAATGTCGCTCCTTTATTACTTCCACGGAACGGAAAAGGATTTATATATGTACATATATATATCGCAAACTGCAAAATCGATGTACATCGACGTTCTGCTGCGAGGCATTTATTGAAATGTCGCGTCAAAAAAGATTTTTCGACCTCCAGTGCGCTAAAACTTTGCACCGTCCCGATTGTGCACCAGTAGCTCGAATTGAAGCGAAACCAATTTATCGAAATCTTGATGAAGAGAATCGATGAATTTTAACGTCAATTATCACCGTAGAGGAAATCGACGGCGTGGTGGTGATAATAAACACGCCGCTCGTCTGGCCCAACAGCGGCACCATGATTCCGTCGGGATCTTTGGTCAATGTAGCTTTAGACAGCTACTCCGGATATGCCACCCAGCGAGTTCTCAATCTGGACAAGCAACCATGCAGGTATGAGGCAACCGGCACGTACAGTCAAGAGACTTGTCTGTCGCTATGCAAACGCTCCTACGTCATCAAATACTGCGGCTGCAACCCGTCTTTTCTGTTCCCAGCAAGTACGATCCTTAAATATAGCGCGGACAGACGCAACGTTAATGGACAACGACATACGTTAAAATTTCATTATTTATACGTTTCAGACACCCGGTACCGCGACTGCACCATCGGGGATTTCGCCTGCCTGATTAATCACAATGGTGAGCACAAATTTCTATTCGGTTGTGTGTTTCCGCGTTTTGTTCGCGCGTGAACACACAAATTGACAACGCACTCGCCCGTATATGATTAACAGTAATTAATATAACTTGCGTTTGTATAATGTAACCCTGCACGTTGGTTCATTTTCCCCGTACTAAACATACCTTTTGATTTTATATAATGTATTTTACGCAAGACTTGTTCAACGACTACATCATTTCTTCCGACGAGAAGATTTCCAACGATGCCGACGTTCAGAGAATGATTTGCGAATGTCTGCCGGCATGCGACTATTACGCCTACAACACTCTGTTTTCTAACGTGCCGCTACATAACGTGAAGGATCTTATAATGGACGTACATTACCTGACGCAACTTAGCTTCCGCTACAAAACGGATACAGTCATCACGCCGATGGATCTTCTCGGTAAACTAAAAGGCGTTTGTGTTAAAAATTATATTTGTTTACGCGTATGTGTGTCACGTTTCTTTCCACGTTCGAATTCTTTTGTTTATTTTTCTCGAAACAAAACAACGAATAAACACATCGTCAGTTTGTGTAATCCCGTAAACTTGAAAACGCAAATTTTTGGAGAAGAGCAGTTTAAAAGTGTAAAACTTTATGTTTCTGTAGTTAAGGGATTCTTTTGGTTTCAAATTTTTATCTTACTCATAAATATTTTTTTTTAATCGTCCTATATTAAAAAAGGCATTGGGACCGAGAAGTGCGCGTTTGGAGTCGAATATATCGCACCTATTGTTGCCTCTTTTCAGCGTTGCCGATTGGTTGGTTGGTTGATCGAGTCGAATCGAATCGGTAAGATTGAGAGAGTAAATAATGAAAAGCGATTTTGACAGTTCGTCGTATATGTAGAGAAAATTAAAAACGTAACTAAAGTCACGTGACAGAAAAGAGTAAAAAAATAACACGTGAAAATAACGTGACTGTAATTTATATTATATATAATATTAAATAATACATATTATACATATAATTTATTATATATTTATAATATTATACTTTTATATTGTATTATATGTATCATATACATACTACAGTAATGTCACTGACCTCCGATTTTGGCGGGGTCACTGACCTCGCCCGCGCGGCCTTGGCGGGGTCAGTGACCTCGGCCGCGCGGCCTTGACGGGGTCACTGACCTCGGCCGCGCGGCCTTGGTGGGGGGAGGGTCACTGACCTCTCCCGCGCGGCCTTGGCGGGGTCAGTGACCTCGGCCGCGTGGCCTTGACGGGGTCACTGACCTCGGCCGCGCGACCGTGGCGGGGTCAATGACCTCGGTCGCGCGACTGCGGTGGAGTCACTAACCTCGACCGCGCAACCGCGGCGGTGTTACTGACTTCGATCACGTGATTACGGTATATATATATATATTATATACACACACATGTATGCGTATGTGTGTGTATTATATATAGATATAGAATATTACATATAATATATATAATATTCCCTTTTTTTACCCTTTTCCCTGTCACGTGACTTTAGTCACGTGTTGTTTTTCCACTTCTCTCTCTCACTATTTTTTTAGTTTGATTTTCATGCGTTATTTCTGACATTTCTCATATGTGTATTATATGGTTTATAAGACGTATATACTATCTGTCATTGCAGTGACAGGTTGTGTTCACTGACAACACGTTAAATAAAAATAATAATAGCGTGCGCATAGCGCGCGCCTGTGTTGTGCTAGTATGACCATAAAAAACACATGACTTTCTATAATGTGACACTTATGTAATTATACGCAAATCGACATGTTGATTTGCCATTGTATTTTACCTGGTGCTCTCTTAAAACTTTCTGCTAAATCAGAAAGTAGCCGCGATTTCAATTAGATTTTACAAATAAGTTTGAAGTGTTGATGTTTATTGAACAATCTGAAAGTTTTTTATAAAAAAGATATCAAATTATATTTACACAATTAGTTTAGAAATTCGTTCCAAAAGTAAAACCAGAGAGAGAGAGAGAGAGAGAGAGAGAGAGAGAGAGAGAGAGAGAGAGAGAGAGAGAGAGAGAGAGAGAGAGAGAAAGAGAGTTCATCGTTCACGTTGGAGCTGAGAAATTCACAGAGATGAGAGAACTCCAGAAACGGAAAAATGCCCGTGAATGCTTTATTTGACCTCGCTTTTCCCAGGTTTGCGGAGAACTTTAATTTGCAACGCCTTAATTATTTCCCTATCTCTATTAGTCCGCGGTGGTTTCTCGCGTATAACGAGTCTCGCGAGATACGGAGTTACGAATTCATAGCGTCCTCCCTTCATGGTCTTCTTGCTCGAAACGTTTATGCGTCTTGTTTACGGCTATCTTGAATGTTATTCGCGATTTTATCTTAGGGGAGAGAGGGAAGAGAATTTTAAGTGCCTTGGGGGCGCGCGTACAAGAACGGATGTAATAAAACACCATCGAGATTATGAGTTAACACCGCTTTGCGAAAATTAAAGCCAACATGCAAATTGTACTTTAGCCATCGAGCCCGGACCGATGATGTCGCATTATAAATCCCGAACGTTCGTCGACGTCGTTGTCGGTATCGCGCCATTATATCGAATGTTTTGCTACGATCACCATATTAATAACTTGATTCCGAAACGCTTTGCATAAACTCTTTTGCAGTGTCTTTCGGCGGCATAATCAGCTTATTCCTGGGTGGCTCGGTCCTCAGCGCCATCGAACTCGTCTATTACCTGATAGTTGCGTTGTACTCGTCCATATATCGGCGATGGAAGGTCCAAAAGACGTCAAGGAAACAGCAAAAGAACCCGGCCATCATCCACACGACGATGTTGCCCATCCTAGATTACAGCCCCGTGAAACCGCGGGCTGAGGGAAAGATACCGATTTTCGCGAAGTACCCCGCGAAATCGAATTCGAACAGATATTGAGTTACCGCGAAGGTAGTCGAATCTTTCAATGGTCGGTTGCTTAGAGAAAGAGAGAGAAAAAAGGTGAGAGAGAAAGAGAGAGAGAGGGGAGAGAACCTCTATTATGAGCCGCTAGGACGCTAAGAAATTTGAGAAGATAAAATAAGAGAAAGTCTGTCCACATCGCGAATCGATATTTGTTACGTCGAAAAATACAAAACGCATGCGCGTATACCTTGTATATGTGTTCCCCCCGCTGGAATGGAGTTCTATTCTTTTCGAAATTGAAGAGCGCGCAAAACTTCAACGAACAAGAAAAACACCAGACGCATTCGGGTGCTAAACGCTGCGCGAATCGCAGCGGAGTCCTATATCTGCTTTGAAATAAACGAATCCCGTTTTTCATAGACATGTTGGTTATTGTGTTTTACCGTGGGCCGGTGCTCATAAATCAGAAAGTAGCCGCGATATCGATCGGAATTGACAAGGAAATCGAGAATGCCTTGCTCACAAAATCTGGTATCTACTCTCCCAGACATCCATATTCATGTATAAACGTACGTATGTGTGTGTGTACGTGTGTGTTCGCGTGCGAGCGCAGAGGCAACTCGTATTTTATTCAACGTTATATGTGATACGTACCTTCCATCTTAGCATTTTGCGGCCGCGTAACGCTTGACTTCAATAATACACGCCATACATTTTGCATGCTTTTCGAGCGAGTTTCTTGACTTTTTCGAGGAGTTTAGAAAGTCGAACAATTGCGCTAGAAATTTGTATATTTGCGTTAAACTGAGAGAAATAAAAAAAAAAAAAAAGTAAAAACAAATTGAACCAAAACAAACATCCTCGATTAAGTCTCTTCCTCATTTTATTAACGTTATTGAAATGCAAAATTTTATTTTATAAATAATCGAAACAATTTCCTTCTTGATGTTAAAATATTACGTTGTATTTTCAACGCTAAATATTATTGAATTATAAATCGATTAAACGTTAATTATGCTCTTGTATAATTAAACTTTTAATAGGTCAAAATCTTGAAATATTTAACAAAGCAAAGATCCAATATTAACCATTTAATTAATTAATAATAAAAATTATTAATTAATAAATAATTACTCTAGTTTCTGTTATTATATTAATTGTAATTAAGGAAAGGATAAAGCAATTTTTATTGATTCCCCTCAGGATTACAAAATTTCTTTACATTCCTTTTCCACATCTCCCAACAACCAATTCAAGCTGATTGGAGGCCCAATTCCAGTTCGATTTTTTCAATCGATGAACTCGATTTGAAAGAAATCGGCCCAGAGAAAAATCCGACAATGTGAATTCGAACTCGGGACCTCCCGCTCGCAGCCCTCGAACTCAAACCGCGAGACTACCGGATCGCGGTTTTATTAATTGTAATTATTAATTAAGTATTAACAATTAATTTTGATAAAAAATAATCTAAACTAGCTAAGACATGTAACTCATAAAAACTAAACGTTTGACAATTTATAAGTAAAATTGTATTTAATTGAGAAAGTCTCATTTGTATTTTCGAAAAACAGAAAAAGATGCGATCAAGCTGAAACAATCTGTACGTGCTTTAGTTATTGCCATTTCGCGCCGCAAAAGTGGTTGTTTCGACAAAATGCAGCCGCAAGCGTGCTATTGCAGCGTTTTAGATGATCGCTGAAATGTATGAATAACGGAAATAAATTGCGCATATGGTCGTGCATTCGATGCACTTGCTAAATTGCCTCGACAACGCGGTTCGTACTATTTGCGCGAGAGCAAATAATGCATAAAGATTCTTGCGTGCGGTATTCGTCTTCTTGCGACTATGTATATAACGCGATATATTGTTATTGATCTGTTATTTTTTATATGTTATTTATATGATCTCTCGCATTACCTAACTTATATACAAAGTGTATAGCGTGTAGTTTTTACCCGGCTGAAAAGAGATCCGATGTCAAAAAGCTTCTCGTGAAAAAAAAATTACGGTCTCGCCGTCGCTAAGGATGTAGTTATTTTCCGCGGCCAAGCGATTTTTCGAGCGACGACAGGTCGGATTTTTCCCTTCAGACTGTGTTCGCTTTCACGCCATTGAGGATAACCGGCGTACTTAAAACAGTAGATAAGACACGCGTTTCCCATTTTTCCATTTTCCAAGCGCGCGACACGTGGGAGCGCTTAAAGCGCACGCGGTTGTGAGACGGAAGTGAATGTACCGGCCGTCTGGCCGGGCCCCATTTGGCCATTTATTATTTATGAGAGAGAAAGAGCGAGGAGGGTGAGAAGTTGTGTCGTCCATCCAACCAACGACGTCAACTCCTCGGAAAAAAAAATCCCTTTCTCGCGCTTATCTCTTTTTAGGAACGTCGTCCGCCGGGATTCATCCCACCGTGAAAGGGAGATACTTCACGGGAGGATACGTCGCTCTCTCTCTTCTCTTTTTTCTCCTTCCCTTGCTGCGCTTTAAAAGCATTCGTCGGGGAGGTTTAGCCAACATCACCTATTATAAAGAGCTCGCGTCGTCGCAGCTACGATGTCGTATGTAGTCAACTGAAATAGTTGAGTCGCTCTTTTAAACCAACGTTGAAGTAGCAAATAAAGGGATTGTTTGAAATTCGCTTAGTGGCCATTTTGACCGCTTCAAATCTTTCTGATGATAAACTTTCGCAAATATATTGCTCGCGGGATCTGGCTCGGACAGAATCGAAGATCTACGAATGGAAAAGAACACAGAAGCGAGTGAAAAAAATACTAAAGCTAAAAGAAAAGCGAAAGCTTGAGAGTGTAAGTAGAAAAATGCGCGACTATATAGAAAGGTTCATGTAACGAAAAACGATAAGAAGAAAATAGTAAGGAAAAAGAAAAAGAAGAAATACAGGAAAAGAAGAAGAAGAAGAAGAAGAAGAAGAAGAAGAAAGAAAAGGTAAAAAACCAATCGTTGTCAGGGAAACGAAGGAAATCTGCATTTTGTCAAACTGTCGCTTGGAAGTTCGCGGGCGCGTTTGGAAGCACGGAGGGTGAAAGGTGAGGGCGCGATGGCGGGACAAGGGGAAATGGGGGTGGCGAGGGATTGTCGAATGGCGAGGAGGGGTGGAAAAAGGAACGAACGACGACGTGGCTGGTCCCGAAGAAGGAAGCGGCGAAGTTTCGAGTAACTCTCCGGCGTGCTGTTATCTAAACCCTTCACGTAGCGTCTCGAGTGGTTCGAGGTCGAAGGCTGCTCCTTGCAGAGGAATATCAGCGCATTACTTTCGATAAGGATCCCGCAGACGGTAACTTGCCCGCCTAATTGACAGCAACGCGTTGTCCTGATCCTGCCGTGAATATAAGAGCCGAGAGAAAATCGGGATGCTCCTCGTGAAGTCGAGGACTTTGCGCGAAAACATCTACATCGCGCTACAAGTGTCAACAAAATTAGTAATTTTTCCCCCCCCCCCCCCGATATTTGGCTGATACAATATATAATAATTATAATTATTGATTTATATGTATATCTAAAAGAAAACAATTACATTTATTGCCCGTGTTAATATCCGATAAAATCAGAACGATTGCATTAACACGTCGAACACGTCGCGAAAGCACAAAGCGCAATCTCCTCTTTGAATATCCCGATCTATTACTCGTGACATTAACCCATTATAAGAATGAGCTCGTTACAATAAATGCGACATAAATGACTTATTAAAAAAGAACAAGCATTTTCAGCCGCGTTTCTGTTCTTCGGCTCCGATAAATTAAATCTTTCTCCTTCGACTCGTATATTCTACCTCTCTTTTCCTTCTGTTCTTTTGCTTCGGAAAAGGGACCAAAGTAAAGTCACGTGACTCGTTTCCGAGGGTGGCGATCGGGGAAGGAAGAGGTATCGTTTGCTTGGCTGCTTTCTTGGTAATCTTGAAATAGGGTACAGCAGTACGAGCGCTGGCTGTTCGCCAACCGACTTTAAACTTCCTCCCTCTCTGAGGATTGGAAACATCTTTGTCGGCGCGCGCCGTAAGGATCACTGTAACGGAACGCACGGCCACTCGTCGAAAATTCGAAACGTGCGCGCACCGATATCGAATACACGAGAAGTAGTTGGATATTTGAGATTTTTCGTCTTCGAAACTTTTGAAAGTTTTTTGCTTTAGAAAATATTCGAATATTAAAAATTGCACAAATGCAAAAACAAATAAATCAAACTTAATATAATTAAAATAATTTTCAAACTTGTTGAATGAAATTAAACTTCAATATTTTTCAACGAAGAAACGCGCCTGTCACGAATTTATTGCCTACATATTGAAACCGATGCTCGCTCGAGAGTCGATATTACCGACATACATGTCGCGTTCCCGACAGAAAACGGTGAGACACTTTACGGAACTCCTACCATCCTTCTTCTTCTCGCTCGATCTTTCGAACGCGTTTCCTCCGAAAATGGAAATATGGCCTTCGAGCGTCGTCGTTGGCTTTGGAACCTCGTCGCAGTTAAATCTTCCTGAAACGCAATACCTTCTTTCCGTACGCAAGACACACGGTCTCTGCCGGATCAAACGGCGCGCATTGCGAGCGCACAGCTGCACACTCTCGCCGAGAGTTCACGAGCGCTAGATGCATAACTCTCAATTTGGCCGTCGGCACAGGCACCGATATTACTTTCCTCGTATTCGATACACACAGTGTTCCGCAATGGCACATTTGGAGAAATATTTTTAATAGCATTCGTTTGCGTAGAGTATATGTGTATATTAAATAAAAATCGTTTTGAAAACTTTTTGTTGGAAATTAAAAACAAATTAACACTTCTCTGCGCTTGTATAAATCATATTCACTTCGTACTCAGTTCGCGCTAATACCTTATACGCGGTTAATCCGATATCGCGTGAAAAATAATAATTGTAACGATAAGAGCAATAATATTACCGTGATAAATATCCTGTTACGGGACACCCTATATAGTCTAGCTCGCTGTTAGATATGGAAGACTATACCCTCGGAAGTGGGTGATACTTCAACGGAATAGCTTGCCA